AAACCTGTATCTTATCAAGCGGTGAAACTAAGCAAATTTAGATAACCATGCAGTATCCCATGTCTCACGTTTGCCAAAAAGGCGTTCTTTACGCAGTTAGCTAAATACTGTGTTCGCATTCATTAAATACGAACTGTACCAGGTAAATAAAAGGCACTCACAGTCACACGCGTACGATTTGTCCGTTAAGTGGTATATTCCAAAGAGCCTCTCTCTAAAGTCGCTCCAGGCTGCTACGTTTCCCTTTACATGATCGCAACTATATACCAAGTTATAAATGTCGTTAGCAGACAGCATGTAGTCAAAGATGTTCAGCTGACTAATATCGCCGATAAAGTTTTCTTGAGTGTTAAATCCACCACCCAGTTCGTCTTGCTCTTGGCCAAGGATCATAACGCCATCGCCAGAAATAACTTCACCTTGTTGAAAAGCCTGAGATGAGCTTTTTATTTCAACGCCATCTTTGTAGGAATACCATGTTCCTCCCGCGCTCTCCCACGTAACTGCCACGTGATGCCACTGACCATCATTTACTTTCAGTCCTGTGAAGACAGTTCTATTATTTACAAATAGATTGAAGCTGGAATAGTCTTGTAAAGCTAATGCGTTGTCCTGCACAATATCACCCACTTGAGTTGCGTAGGAGATCACTGTTCCGGGGTTGCGGTCGCTGGTACGCATCCAAAAAGCGATGGTTAGTGCGTTAAGGTCCGAAATTGGCTTCTTAATCTTGGAATACGACTTGGCCGCTCTGACTTGAAACGACAAATCGTAGTCAGATGAAAGCTCTGCAAGAGAAGTAATGAAAATGGTCAATTGTTGGGCAATCATACAATGGAGTGACGTGTTTTCGATGGAGCATCAACAATACTCGCGTCATTGACGTTACGTGTGTGAAAACAGGAACTAAATGGCGGAGGAATCAGTTCCGTGTACTTCCGAGCGCCTTATATTTTGAAATTGTAGTAAGGTAAGCTTGAATTAGTATTCTCAGAGTCATTAAAAATTCATCAAGTTTAAACATAGGAAATCGTGACCGTGATGGTGTATGGACACCTGATCTTAAGTAGCAAAAACTTTTACCATTGTTTTCTCCATTTTTTCCCTTAGTTTTATTTTCGATAGAGAAGATATATCAAACACTCAAGACAGTGTTTGACTTCATTGCCAAACACCTCGATGTTCGTCAAAAATACTCCGCTACAAGTCGTACAGTTATAATAATATTAATAGTTCTTAAGTTGAAATGTAATTACTTTTTTGTGGTTAGATCTTGAAGAAATACTTTTCACCTAAATTGTTTTTTCAAATCTGTATTCCTTCTGCTAAATTATGTTTCTTTGGACCACCTACTCGATTAGCTACATAAACTATCTAGGTGTTCCAAACTCAATCAACCTTGTATTAAAACTATTCGTCTTCCTTTATTTCCATTTCTCTCTCTTTCTTTAACACTTTAGTTTTTAATCACAATTGTACTTGAAATTATTTCATTAATGCTTTTTATCATCTTCTACAGGTAATTTGTATATATTTATATGCATTCTATTTTTTCTTACATCTCTGTAAAATTAAAATTTGTGAGAGTTTAAATTAAAGTTAAATTGAATTGAATCGTATTTTCAACTCTCTTCCCGATGTTTTAAAATGTGGTGAAACACAGTCTTTCGTATTTGGTATGTTACATGATCTGTTGACTCCGTAATGACTGACTAGTTACTGGTTCAGATTGAGCGTCAGCCATACCTTCGCTGCAGAGACATTTGGAGTAGGATGGCATGCACTGGCACTTGAAACCAGTTAGTGTATTCACGCATGTCCCACCATTGCGACACGGCTGCCCTACGCAGTGATCAACAGGATGCTCACAGTTGGCGCCAGTGTACCCAACTGGGCATGAGCAACTGTAGAACTGTACATCGTCCACACAGGTACCGCCATTCTGACAGGGTTTGGCAGCGCAGTCATGGATATTGATCTGGCAATTCACACCACTGTATCCTGCCTGGCACTTGCAAGAATAGGTGTTCACGCCACTGGTGCATACCCCGTTATTTTGGCAAGGGCTTGAGGCACATTCGTCGATGTTAATCTCACAGAATGTCCCACTATACCCCTGCGGACACTGACAGGAAAATGTTCCCGCTTTATCGATGCAGTTACCTCCATTCACACAAGGCGTTCGTTGGTTGCAAAGGCCGTACGGAAGTTCGCACTCGTTACCAGTATACTCATCGGTGCAAAGACATTTGTAAGCATTTACCTGTACGAGAGAGACACATTAAACGATCCTAGCAAGTTGTAACAGACGTATTCCCTGAAAACACAGATAGTAAATAACTTGACGTGATACATGTAGTTGAGCCTGAATTAACTGGTCCTAAATGGTTACTCTCCGGAAATGACTTAGTGATTGCCTGATGCAGGTATCTCTAAGACATCTGTTATACACAGAAGAGAAGAGATGTTATGTTATATATGATGTTTAAAAAAGCAATATAAATAGTTTGTTGAAACTTTGTAAAGAGGGGCTGTATTTGCTCATGACAGAAAGGTGACTGCTAAACAGGTTTGTCTACAACACTGGTGGCTTTACACCGCTTTTTTGCGGTACAGAGCAGAGCGCGATACGCGAACTGTAAACTACTCCGCTAAACCATCTGTCGTGGCGGCCGTGTCGGCTACTACAGTCTTATTCTACTAGCAATTGCATTGAGGCCACAGAATAGAGAATCTAATAAATCAAAGGTACCTTGTTGACACAAGTGGAGTCCAGATAACATGGTAACGCGAGACACTCGTTAATCTCCATCTCGCAATTCCCTCCTTTGTATCCCGGTGGGCATTCGCATCGGTAAGATTCCTTCGTGTTCACACACGTTCCACCGTTCATGCAAGGACTCGAAACACATGTGTCCACCTCTGTAATCGCAATTTGGCATTTTTTCATTAGGTATAAGGGGATTAAGTGTGGCTGAGATTGTAGGCTTGTGTTTTGTAGGCTTCAGTAATGCCACGACCTACCACAGATTAAATACTTTACATCCGGGAAATAAATAGCAATGAATATGATAAGAACACGTACAGCTCAAATTCGTTTCCTTCTAACTTTTAACTTGTGCTGTTCAGAGGCGACATGTTCTAAAGAGGAAAAACGAATGAAATTGACATCACTCGCCTCCCTGTTGGTATACGCTTCCTCGCGCGAAAGCCGGGGATAAAGTTAGTTGAATGTTCCTCCTTTGAGTCTCCTTTTGAGTTTTTAGGTTGTTCACACAACTGAGTATTAGCGTGTATAGTTGGCTGTACTGTCACGAAGCAATGGAAAACAACAGGGTACGAACAAATCATGGGTTAACCTGACAAAATCACTCAAATATATCTGATACTATTCCATTAAAGACTTCAAAAGGGTTGCATGGGCCTATGAACTCAGAATCCTACAGTTTAGAGTTTAGGACCGAAATACTGAAAAAAAAGTCGCACCTGTACAGTAGTCTAAAGAACTTGCCCCAGTGCCGTGTGTAGATTCCTGACCAGGACAAGGTAGACAAGATGTTTGCCCATACTCCGTCTGATACGTTCCAGCAGGACAAGGCAAGCAAGGCTCTACTCCATTGTCTGAGTATGTTCCTGGAGCACATTGCACTAACAAATACAGACATTGTTAACAAGCAGCATCTTAAAACTAGGCATCATGGCAAAGATAATGTGTTGTGATAACCTTACGGGGAATACGAGTTACATGTAGAAAGTACACGTCAATGAGGTATGGTGTGGGGTGTGAAAATAAGTGAGTTAGTTTGTGTGGGTCAAACTTGAGCTTACCTCTTATTTTTGGATAAGTGTTGCCCTAATAAAAATTTAGTGGTTTTTGTACAGTTGTGGCCGGGGTTTATCTAGAATGATGGGGATTGGAAAATATTTCTAGAATAAAGTTCCCCATTTTTCATTTATCATACTGTGTATGTTTGGAGCCCACCACTGGCAAGACTAGAAGCGTTAGGGAGCTAACCTTTTCCTATATATCAACTTTAAGAACAGCAGTTCACCGAAAGAAAAACAGCAGCAATGTCAGCATAAACAACAGAAAAAAAAATTTGAAGCGTAACGTTTCTCAGTTGCGAACCCGCACACTTGAACGGGGTCAAGTTGAAGTAATAATAATAGTAATAATAATAATAATAATAATAATAA